AATGAATCAGGCAGGCAAAAAACGAGATATCGAGGAGGAGCGAAGGAAATGGGATTGTGAGACAACAGGGGAGATAAACGGAAGTTGAGGATGAGACTTACTGAAACAACTTTAAGAAACCATGGATCGACTGCCAATGACCTCCAAACGTTGGCAAGTTAAAGCAAAATTAATGAGTCTGGTCTAATTATTTAATTAGTATGCATATATTAAAGGATCAGATTTAGATTATCTCAAAACACAATATCTTAAAAACTACTAACACTACCCAAACAAATAATACATCAATTAAAACTTAAAAAGAGAGGAAAAGCATGAATCTAACACCACAAACGTTAGACTTTTACAGAAGAAAAACAAAAAATGTATTTATTTTCGACACTACAAATCAACCCTCCAGTCACAGACCTCTTATAGTGAAGGTGTAAATTTTTACCATACATGTTTTGGATTGAGTTTGTGTTAAAGAAATTGAGAAAATTACCACCAAAGAGATTGAAAATTGCCACGGATTCCATTGCTAGGGTGGTTGCTATGGGAAGATTTTAATTTTAAATTATATTTTTGAAAGATATGTAGGGTTGTCCCCACTAGCTCTGACCCAAGAAGGGTGGTCAGAGTAAGACAAATACAGGAAAATGGTTTTTCATTATTGTATTTTCTGTACACTTGATAGTAAATGTAGAAGTGCTATAATTAGTAATTGTTGTACATCATTTGGATCATAATTAAGGTATTTCTGGCCCATTTTTTTTCACCCTTTTTTAAAAAAAATAGATATTTGCTACTTTAAAATGTCTACTTTCAGTTTTTGCAACACGTTTTGTCAAAACACCCCTATCTCTCAAAAATGGAATTTAAAATTAAAATCTTCCCATAGCAACCACCCTAGCAATGGAATCCATGGCAATTTTCAACCTCTTTGGTGGTAATTTTCTCAATTTTTTTAACACAAACTCAATCAAAAACATGGGTGGTAAAAATTTACACCCTCACTATAAGAGGTCTGTGATTGGAGGGTTGATTTGTAGTGTCGAAAATAAATAAATTTTTTGTTTTTCTTTTCTTCTGCAATAGTTTAATGTTTGTGGTGTTAGATTCATGCTTTTCCTCTCTTCATAAGTTTTAATTGATGTATTATTTATTTGGGTAGTGTTAGTAGTTTTTAAGATATTGTGTTTTGAGATAATATAAATCTGATCCTTTAATATATACATACTAATGAAATAAATTTCATAATTAATTGGAAGTGAATTCAAGTTAATCAAAGTTTGGAGTCCATAGTTTGTTCTAGAGTCCAAAACCAGTAATGGATACATCAATGGGCTGTAAACATCTTAAAGATGTCATTTCAAGCATTTAAAATTTTTTATGTATATATTTCAAGAAAGTGTTATATTGTCATTGTATATTGTACAACTTGTTTTTGTGATTTGTTTATGAGATTATATCCAGAAAAAAATAAAGGCATTTCGTTTTTCTTCTGTTATGTGACCCCTCACCTCTCTTTTTCTTTAAAGTAGGTTTTAAGAAGTCTCAAGTTATTTCATGGGTGCATGTTTTAGTCAAAATATTGTATTTGTCATATTATCTATTGAGGTACTGGTGATGAGGAAAAAGCATTACACGTGCACAGTTTGAAGTATAAATGTGAATTATCTCATACTTACAATGCATACATTATCATTCTAGTAACTTTTTTAATAGTTTTATTTTAATGAAACTGTCATGCATTTGATTACTTTTCTCTGTGTTATTAGGTGTGGCAATATCAATGTTGAGGAAACAACCGAGGATTTCTTGGAAAAGTATGGCTGTAAATACAGATTGGGGATTATTGTACCAGTGTCCAGATTGTAAAAAATTATTTCGTTCTTCAGATACTCTTAAGAACCATCATTTATTTCAGCATAGAAAGCAGGCAGTTCTGAAATGTTTTTACTGTGGAAAAGGATTTAAACGTCTTATTCACCTCAGAAAACATGCACAGAAATGTCGTTGTAGTGCTAATTAAATTTACATTCTTTTAGCTGTTTTATATACCAACAATTTGATATTGTTCATGAGTGACTTAAATATGAAACATTCTAGTGATTTTGTGTCTGAAAATAACTGTGTGTAAGATATTGTGATTCATATTTTCTGTGAATTTATTTCTAGTGTAAATTTAAACATTAAGAATTGCACCTACAGGTTTTACATATCAGGCAAATATAATTGAAACTTGTAATTTGTTATAAAATGATGTAAAATAAGATATTTTTTGAAGATCCTAATGATTTCATTTTCTGTTTTAGGAATGAATTATATAATGTGGAATAGTAGATAGGTGTGTGGAAGTTGAAATTTTGAAGCAAAACAAAGAATCAGATTAAATATTCTGGCTACAAATATGTTTGTCCTTACTTTGTGATTGATAAATATATATATATAATGGATTGCACACTCAGCAGTACGTAACTAATTGTATACAATAAAACAATTTAAATTACTGGAAGTTCTATATTTAAGTTACTATATGGTGAAGCAGTAAAAACCCCATAGGTATTGGAAGTTCTGTCTAAACAAAATGTCATTGTATTTTTAGTAAAACATTTGAAAGTGTCAAACGTTGTCATAAGAAATCCTTATCGTATTCTAAGATCTTTATTTCTGAACAGTTCAGTTCAAGAAAAATTTAGCCAATATTTTCATCTATAGATCTGGCAAAATATCTACCTCTTTTAGAGCTTTTTAAAAGTAAAAACTTAACATCAAGTGCTTTTTTTTATGAAAAAAAAGTTTTCATTTAATTTTTCCAATAATGTGTTTAATAAGTTTTGAAGGAAGTCAACAACTTCTTTTATCTAGTGCCAAATGTTTCAAGGGTCTTGGACTCTTGTACTACTGTATCTAACCGCCTATATCACATAAAGACAATAAAACATTACTAAAACGTTACCACATCATATATAAACATTCAAGCCCTCACTCTCAGTAAAGTTATATTGGTTCAACTATTTGAACAATTGAAACACAGATTAAGAGACAATCAGAAAGAAAATGGTTGACAAGCAGTCATCTTTACAAGAGGATGCGTGGAACTGTGACATTCCTTTTCCAACAATCTTACGTTCCCTAACAAAATGCTTCCATGGCTTATACTACCCTCTATCGGCGCAACTTTTCCCACTTATCTCTAATTATGCAGCAACCCTCCACCAATAGGAGTGCGACACTTCTATCCACAAGTGTTTACTTTCTTTACTTACTACATTAATTACGTTATTCTTTATCGTTTTTGTTCTCTCTTTTTTGGAGTATTACAAATTATTTTATCTATCTTCTATTTCAATTTCGTTAATTATTCTCTCGCAGTTTCGGGTGATCACGACTACAACTGCTGTTATTGCGGCAACGGAATTATCGTCCACGTCCAACGGGTTCGAACCACGATTATTGGTCCATGAAGTGATGGCTCTGGTTTGTCGGAGGTTAACCAATTTCATGCAACAATCAAAACAAACTGATGGCTGTCCTATCAAGATTTTTATTGATCGGGAAATTTTGGATTTGGATAGCCTCCCCCCCCCTCCTGAATATGCCTCTTAGTCGCGTGTCATTTCAGTGGACTTGCCAAGACCTCTCTCCCCTTTGGTGGATTTGATTGTTCGGGTATGTTATGTTCTGTCCTTATCTCCTGTTTTCTATGTTCCACCCCTGCTTTTCTCTGGGACAAGCCTTTGGGTTATTTAGTATTTCCTCCTTCCCCAGATATTGGGGTTCACGCGAGTCATTTTGGGGAGCATTTGTGATCGGGGTCAGTATGCCTCAACCCCCCATGTACTGTGGACAATCATGATTTTGATTATTATCGTTCCAACTTCCCTTATTTGGACTCTCAGCATTTGATGTTGCTTCTCCCTTAGTGTGGATCGGACACCAATAATTCAATTATATATAAGCAAGAAAGCCAATGAAGTCTGATAAAATTTCCATAGTTTTTAAGTGTACTAGTGTCAAAAGTTCTTTTAAATTTTCTGTTAGTTTCTCATCATAAATCCTTAAACAGCAACTTGATATGTTGCATGTTTTGTGAGGAATCTACTTAACTGCATCACGATGGTTATTTGATACTATTGGTTGAAACTGTAACTGCATCACGATGGTTATGTGATACTATTGGTTGAAACTGTAACTACATCACAGTGGTTATTGATACTATTGGTTGAAACTGTAACTACATCACGGTGGTTATTGATACTATTGGTCGAAACTGTAACTACATCACAGTTGTTATTTGATACTATTGGTTAGGGATGGCTAGCACAGATAGCCCTCGTGTAGCTTTGAGCAAAATTCAAAAACAAACCTTTGGGCCGAATAAACAGTTTTTTTCTTTTGCTATTCCAATCTGCCCGTAGGTCTCCTAGGTGGTCAAAAACAACTAAATAATGAAAATTTTGGACTCTGGTGAGCACACATAAGCAGAACTTAACAACAGTTTATTTTTATTTTTCACACTGTTTCTGACTAGAACTTTCATGGTATTTTGGTAACCATCTTTAATCCACACTCATGACCAAGTTTGTCTGACCAGTTGGAATTTTGAATACAGATGTTTTCAAGATCAAACTCAAAATTATTGATTTTACATCCTGCCTCTTGATGTTTTTCTCTCTTGATATTGTTCAACCCTAACACCGCTAAAGGAATCATGGAAGAAGCCAGTGGTGAGAAATTTCTATTTGATTTAAGAGTGCTTCAGAGTTTCAGATGCTGCATTCTATACCTGGGTCTGGCCTGAAGTTTATGCTTTTGTAGCCAGTATATGAAGACACATCACTGGATGATGCTTCTGATATGCAAGCTCTGGAAACTGTGATGATAGGAGTAACCCTCCAAAGAACCCTAATGTGACACCAGCCATCACATCACTGGGTGTACCAATCTCAGAGCCAGTGACTGTGGGTTTTACAAAATCCATGAAGCCTCGTGTTCCAGTCATTCTGACAATGACCGCTATAAATGTTTCAATGACCCTTAGAGAAAAAAAAAGAGAAACCAGAATATAGAGAAGTAAGTCTAGATCTGAACCTAATTTGCTGAAGGACTCTTAATTATATGCCCTTTTGGAGGGATCTTCACCAGTAGACCTATCAACTACCTTTTGGATATCCATGAAAAATGTTTTGACACCTGCATGATTACTTCCCTAAGAAACAAGTAGTTTGCTCCTCAGATCTGTCTCCACCACCAATGTCCACCCCAGGGCAATATTCCAAGTAGTAGTCACCACTGTGGGTTTGGTTTAGGCAACAACAATTATCACAGTGTCTGCTTCCATCGTGTGCACTAGAAAATCTACCTCAGCAGCAATGGTGGCAATCTGTAACAGATCTGGAGGTGAAAGCAGACGACACTAAGACAGGTAGCAGTTTGGAAATGACACTTTGAGGAACAGCCAGCCATTTGGACAAAGGCTTGGGCATTTTATATTCACAAGAAAGACTGTCTGCTAAAGAGTAGAGGTCTGGCAACAAGGTTTGAGAATAAAGTGTATCATCTCCGAGAGGATCTGGTGAACAATTGGAAGGCACACACAATGACTGCTTTTGAGAAGTTTCTGTCGAGCCTTCCTTAGTTGAGTAACTACAGCTTCTCTCCTAAATTGTGTATAAGATCAGTGAATCGTGAATATACATTTATTTAGTAAATAGTGTTTTTTATTTGTTTTATTGTTATTCAGTATATATATATATATATATGATTAAGGTTTGTTGGTACAGTTTAGATATTTTCATAATGTTGAGGTTTAAGGTTTCCATTTTTCAATATATATAATTCAGATGTAGATACATATTTTCGGTTAAAGGTTATATGTTTGCTCATATTATGTGTATATGTATCTTAGTAAGTAAGTTCAGTGTTGTAAATGTTTTATTAGTCTTAATGGGTTCGGTTTTTCTCTTCATGTACTTAGGTTTTAAAAAAGTTTATTGTGTGCTTTTAAGTTAAAGAGCTTTATTTTCATATTTTTTTCTCTTTTTCATTCTTATGTATATTGTATTTATCATTATGTAAGGATTTTTTGTATTATAGCGTATATATATCCTTATCAAAAGGTTTTAATTCATACATTGGTGCATAGTGCGTTAGACTGGAAAGTTTTCTTTGTTCTCAGAATATACATAGTTCAAGCTACTCCCATTTTAAGGGAATAATTGGGTTGTAAACCACATTTTTTGGTATTGTAAAGTTAGTTTTGCTTTTGTGTTACTCAGTGTTGTTTGGCAAGTGGTTTTACAGACTAGACTAGTTATTCCATTTCTCATGTGATGTGGTTAAAGGTATATTTTTGGTTTTCAGGCTAGGTCACCCTGAAGGTAAAGGGGAGAGGTTATGATACCATGTGTTTTTAACCCCTTTAGTTAAGGTGTAAATTTTTTGAAATTATTATTTTTTTTCTATTTCCAGTTTGTACTCAGATAATTTCTCAAGTAGAAATTTCAGTTCCTCTTATTTTGGTGCATACAAGTTGCAAGTTCACTAATTGGCAATTAACCGAATCACTTGCAGGAAAGATATCATGTGACATTCACTAAAAGGAAGCTATCTTCTCTGTGGCAAATTGGGTAATAGGAGCTGTCTTGCTCTAGCCAGTTTAATATTATAAATTCTGAAAATCAGTAGCTTAATATTGTTCAGTAGTCCTTCAATTCTTTAAACAAATCAGTATGTGCATTTGTAAGCACCGTTATACACTTGACTCATACGTTTGTAGAAAGATGTTTTTAGAACCAGAATTCTAAAGAATAATCACTGGTTCTCTTAATATAAGAATCCAAAAATTAAAATGTTTTATGTGTAAAAATAATTCAAATATCTCATTTAGTTGACACAAAATGCACAGTATATATTTTGTAACCCATATTTGTATAGGTAAAATATTTTTCTTCTTTTATATATATATTTAATGTTGTTGTTGTTTTTGAAGTTAAGCACAAAGCTACACAATGGGCTATCTGTGCTCTGACCACCACGGATATCGAAACCCGGATTCTAGCGTTGTAAGTCCACAGACATGCTGGTGTGCTACTGGGGGGGGCTGAGATTTATGTATTTTTCTGTGTTAAAAATATTACTAATAGCTAGAGATAAAGAAAAATGTATACCTAATACTTTTCATTGATTGTAGTTATAAATTCTGAAATAATAATTTTCTTTTTTAATAAACTGATTATCTATTCTTCTTTAAACATTAGTTGTTGTCAGGTTTCTAAGGTTTTGTGGACAAAATGCTGTGAATCAAATTTGATTTCTGCACACAATTTACCACACGCACTATATATTAGAAATATGAAAGTGGAAATGTGGTTTATTTCATTACTGTTTTGAGATCTCTATTTCTGAATTACATGTTCATTTGTAAATAGATTTAAAAACTACATCTCACTATGGCATCCAGATCAACATCAAGTTTATATGATTTATCTTCAAAGTCCCAATGAAATATTTGAAACAACATTTAGCTATGATTTCTCATCACTTTGTACTCTTCCAAACAAGAGGCTTTCCAATGTTATTTTTGTTTTGGAACATATGTTTGTATTTTAATGACAAAAGTTCATACACACTTGTTTGTGAATAAAGGCACAGAGCCATCTATTATATTTGTTCATTAAAAATGTACGGCGGTTTTAACCAGGTAAATGATTTGGGCTTGAATCCTGCATCCTTTATGAGAGCAGCTGAAAATTGTCGAAATGTGAATATTTTATTTAAATAGATTTTACAAACAAAAATAATAATTAGTGAAAAAAAACAACATTATCTTCACTCACAGATATTTATTGCTAATTTAGTGAATTGCTGGTTTTTTAATCTGCTAAGATGAAGAATGTGACTCAAAAGCGAGAAAAACTAAAATAAATATTGATGATTAAACTT